TATTTGACTTTTGAACGATATGCGCACATATCTATCAGGCGATTGCTGCCCAGTATGTCTGCATTCACCTCTCTTCACTTTGTTCTGGCATAATCTGGAAATGGTCATGCAAAGAGCAATCTTCGATAAGTAAAAATGTAAGGCATGATGTAGGTTAAGCTTTTCATTTAAACGCATTTTAAGCATTATGGGTTAAAAACAAATGTAACTGTTCATGGACATTAAGCAGTGGGACAGAATTCATTTTGGCAAATGCATGCATTAAGACGGTCAGGGCCTGATTGGCGTGGCCCGCACCTGCTCTACAGCGCCAGTCTAAACTTGAGTTATTTTTCGCGCCTTGTGCTTAAACGTTCAAATGCACAGTTATGTGTCAAAATGTCTCCTCGTCAACACAGTTATTTGTGTCTTAAACGAACGTTAAATATAACGCATGTGTAGTAGTAGGCTATATGAGATCCTAATATGACGAGATTTTAAAGGGATATTCACCCCAAAATGAAAATACTGTCATCATTTACTCAGAAATTCATACAGGTTTAGAACAACTTAAGGCTTTGTTCTCCTCAACATAAAAGAAGGTATTTTGAAGAATGTTCGTAACTAGAAAGTTTCTGGTCCCCATTGACTCCAGTAGTGTATTTTGTTTTTCATACTATGGAAGTCATGGGGGCCCAGCAACTGTTGGGTTACCAGTATTGTTCCAAATATATGAAGAGTTTATTTGCAAAAACAGATTACTCAGTTTATTAAAATTTTCAAAAAACATGTTTTTTATTATGTTATCATGTTTGTATTGTCTTTTATTGTGTTAGCTGTATTTTTTTGTTATTTTTTAACTTAATCAAAATAACCCAACTGCAGTTTGATCGAGAATAATTGGAATGCACAATGAAAAAACATCATTTTTGACAATTGTTAAAAATGGAGTTATCTGTTTTTTCAAATGAACTCTTCATATACTTTTACATTCAACAGCAGAAGGAAACTCATACAGGTTTAGAACAACAACAGACCTTTAATTTTTGGGTGAGCTATTCCTCTAAAGCAGCCTAATTTAGCTGCTGTTAAAATTTATGTCAATAATGTTAATCAAACATTAGAAAGAAAATCACTCACTGTCCTTGACCGAATCACTTTTGTAAAATAAATAAGAATGAATGTATATTGAATTTATACAATGAAGACTATTCAGTTTATTTGTACAATTATTTGATACAATATAATTTCTTATTCAGTGCTTTAAGTGTTTCAAGTAGGTCTATTTTTTGTAATTTGTGTCTGTTTACTTGTCTTAAGTATAAGCTTGTTTTTACTTAGGCTAGTATTTTTTATTTTTATTTATTTTATTTTTTTAAATATTGAATTATAAAATTTCAATGCATAAATATTTTGATAGGATAAAAATCCTATTTAAAGCTATATAGCTTTAAGTAGGATTTTTATCCATATATATATATATTAGTGCTGGGCAACGATTACACTTTTTAATGCACAAAATTCAATAATGAATTCAAAAGTAGTGTATTGTGCACTTTTTTCATTTAAAAGAACTGCTATATGAACAAATATTTATATTATTTACGATCTGTATCAGTGGCGTAACTACAGGCAGTGCAGCCGCACTGGGGCCCGTGCCGCAGGGGGGCCCGCAGCGCACACGGGCCCTGCCCACATTGCAAGCGACTATGTTAATATAAATTAATAATAAACGTATTAATAATCAAATACAATTAGTACCGAGATTCTTCACAGAACTGAATAAATATATATAAATTCGCATAAATCATGTGTGTGTGTTTCAGTGGTCTAGTGGTAGAACTTTTGTCAAGCATTTCCGAGGTTCTGGGTTCTAATCCACCCTCGTGTAGTTTTTTTTCTTCTCTCATTAAAACCAAAGGTGTGTGTCAGTGATTGTATATCAAGAGCCTATATTTGTAATAGGGGGCCCTGCAGTAAGTCATAGCCCCGGGGCCCTTGCGGGGCCCATGCGGCCCTGCCTGTACCATGATGGTAGATGAACAAACTCAGGGTTACAGGATTAGTTTCAAGTTGACAAAACCAAACCACTCCAATCCGGCTTTGTTGGTACCATGATGCTGATCATCA